TATGGATTTCCCCTGGAGATGAATCATCTCTTTTTCGAGGGGGTTCACTCACTTTGTCTCACTTTGGAGACAGATCAGATCAGAGAGACAAAAGTGAGAGAGACCGGAGAGAGACCAGAGAGAGACCAGAGAGAGACCAGAGAGAGTCTGGACCTGAAAACTTACATGAATGTGTTGTTCCAGTGTTTGCTGTGTGCAGTCGATGGATTGGCAAGGCAAGTTTATTTATTCAGCACAGTTCAAACATAATGGTGCTTTCAGACCGCCAACGCTGAAATGCTGAAGCCTTGCTTACCAGACGCACATTCTCTAGTTTTCAGACGCAGGGGTCTTCAGACCAGAAGTCCTGGCGCGCGCCGGAAGTGGCAGAAGTAGCCGACGGGCTCTGATGCTTACAGAGTTTAGCTAGCGGCTTCTTGTGTACAGATCTTCTCCAATAATGCAGCTTTGCAGCGTGTCTGTGTTCAGAGACCTTCCACGGACTTTATATATCAGTAGTATGTGTTCACGGAGGTGCGCAATAAGTTAATTTTATTATTAAACGGTATTTCCGCATCTGTGAACACACTCGAAGCAGTTGCATAAAGTCACGGGAGCATGAAAACTCACATGTTAACAAGCACTATGTCCCCCATTGTCAACCCTGGTTCGAGTCCTGGTGAAGCTCCTGTTTTGGCTGTTTACAAGTATTTTCAGTCTGCTCGCTCAGACCGCTAATGTCCCCTTGACTACTTTGCGGCTCTCTGGTTGCTGCACAAACGTCCCGAGGAAAGGTTGAGAAAAGTTTATCTCCTGCGTGCGTCGATTTTCCGCTCCTGCTCCTCCCCTTCGACTTTCCTGCGCAGTCCGTGCGTCTCTACTGAGCAGTCCGTGCATGCATTCCGAGGCGCTGATGCGTTTTGACGCTAGAACGCGCATCAACATTGGTTTGCATTGAAAGCCGACGCAACGAATGATCCAGTCTGCACGCGGCATAAGGCAACAAGAACAAAACAAGAAAAGCAACATTAACATTGTACTGTAATTAAAAAGAATGAAGATACAATCTGTCAGTTGTTGCAGTGAAATATAACTGTTTTGAATCTGGACTTGAACATTGTCAGAGAAGAAGCCTGTCTCACATTTTCAGGAAGACTGGTCCAGAGTGGTGTCTGGCGTGGTTTTGTGTGTTTGGTGGTTGTTTATTCAGAGAGAACCTTAATCCCCAAAGAGTTGACGCAGCTGCTTCTGAGGAATGTAAATGTTATTTTGGAAATGAAAAATGAAGCTGGTGATGAGATATACACACACTGTGAAATAAAAAAATACCATATCAGCTATTCACACCCAGCCCCAGTCCTGGATCTGCAGTCTCAGTCCTGGATCTACAGCCTCAGTCCTGGATCTACAGTCTCAGTCCTGGATCTGCAGTCTCAGTCCTGGATCTGCAGTCTCAGTCCTGGATCTACAGCCTCAGTCCTGGATCTACAGCCTCAGTCCTGGATCTAAAGCCTCAGTCTTGGATCTAAAGCCTCAGTCCTGGATCTACAGCCTCAGTCCTGGATCTACAGCCTCAGTCCTGGATCTACAGCCTCAGTCCTGGATCTAAAGCCTCAGTCCTGGATCTACAGCCTCAGTCCTGGATCTAAAGCCTCAGTCTTGGATCTACAGCCTCAGTCCTGGATCTACATGCTCAGTCCTGGATCTACATGCTCAGTCCTGGATCTACAGCCTCAGTCCTGGATCTACATGCTCAGTCCTGGATCTAAAGCCTCAGTCTTGGATCTAAAGCCTCAGTCCTGGATCTACAGCCTCAGTCCTGGATCTACAGCCTCAGTCCTGGATCTACAGAGAAGTGAAAGAGAGAGGACCACCCTCAGTCAACCAATGAGCTCCTCGCCCAAAGAGTCAAATAGTGACACCTAGGACTTTTTTACACTAGAGAAAACATGGAAAGGTCTGACTTGAGCATTTGATAACACTCTTTCTGTTGGACAAACTACATGTATTCTTATATACTAAAATAAAGTCAGGTACCCCAACTTTAATATATTGTCTCAAACTGTCTCAAAGTTTAAAGAAGTTATATCCACAAGGAGACAAATGCCGGATACTTGACCTTAATTCTGGACGAGATTAATCTCCCAGAATACATTTTGTGCCTCATCAGCCACAGGTGGAGGAGAGACGAGGACTGTGGAGTTTCCCCATCGAGGACCAGGCCAGAGTTCAGCAAAAACACCGCAGAGCAATTAATCTTGATTTTGAGCTTCACGCTGTACGAGCCCGAGAGCAGGACGAAGAAAAAGCACAGAGCATTCTACACTTTCAGATCTGCAGCAACAAGACCAGTCCAGGTAATTTGTATAGCACAAGACATACACAATTCAATGTGCTTTAGCGAAGAGGAAGGGGAACGTTCAAACAGATATGTAATTCACACAAGGGTTTGGAAGGAGTTATTCGCTCCAACTTCAGTCCTGGACCCACAGCCTCAATCCACAGCCTCAATCCTGGACCCACAGCCTAAGACCTGAATTTACAGCTTCAGTCCTGGACCTACAGTTTCAGTCCTGGATCTATAGCCTCAGTCCCACTCCCTATGGACTAATGGCTCCAATGTGTTTGTTATTATTCCATTTTCTGTGTTTGAACTGTTTGATTTGTTATGACATAGGGCGCTACACATTTCCATTGAATTAAATAAAAGGCTGTAGATCTAGGACTGAGATTCCAGACCCATAATGTTATATTGATGAATAATTGATTGACTGCGGAACCTTCCGCAGTCAACCATTGGTTTTGTATTTCTTTATTCCGTCATTTTTTTTGACACGTTTCACAGCTTTCACATTTTCAACAATTTCCACAAGTTATACATCAAAACGTTCCACATGTTTGGGAGATTATTGCTATTACTTTTGGGACTTCAGCGATTTCCGGTTTTTCCGCAATCGGACAAAAATCTGCATTGAGAATTCTGCAATGCATTTTAATAGGCCCATGCAATTTTAATAGGACTTCAGCTCTTTCAGACATTTCTACAGTTTCAATGATTCAACAGTTTCAAGGATTCAACAGTTTCAAGGATTTCAGCAGTTTCAAGATTTCAAGAGTTTCAAGGACTTCAACAGTTTCAAGGACTTCAGCAGTTTCAAGGACTTCAGCAGTTTCAAGGACTTCAGCAGTTTCAAGGACTTCAGCAGTTTCAAGGACTTCAGTGTAATCATGCAACCTAATAGGGATTTTTCCATGTAAACCAGTATAATGCAACTTAATAGGTATTTTTCCATGTAAACCAGTATAATGCAACTTAATAGGGATTTTTCCATGTAAACCAGTATAATGCAACTTAATAGGGGTTTTTACATGTAAACCAGTATAATGCAACTTAATAGGGTTTTTTTCATGTAAACCAGTATAATGCAACTTAATAGGGATTTTTCCATGTAAACCAGTATAATGCAACTTAATAGGGATTTTTCCATGTAAACCAGTATAATGCAACTTAATAGGGATTTTTCCATGTAAACCAGTATAATGCAACTTAATAGGGTTTTTTTCATGTAAACCAGTATAATGCCACTTAATAGGGTTTTTTTCATGTAAACCAGTATAATGCAACTTAATGGGGATTTTTCCATGTAAACCAGTATAATGCAACTTAATAGGGGTTTTTACATGTAAACCAGTATAATGCAACTTAATAGGGTTTTTTCCATGTAAACCAGTATAATGGAACTTAATAGGGATTTTTCCATGTAAACCAGTATAATGCAACTTAATAGGGATTTTTCCATGTAAACCAGTATAATGCAACTTAATAGGGTTTTTTTCATGTAAACCAGTATAATGCAACTTAATAGGGTTTTTTTCATGTAAACCAGTATAATGCAACTTAATGGGGATTTTTCCATGTAAACCAGTATAATGCAACTTAATAGGTTTTTTTTTTACATATAAACCAGTATAATGGAACTTAATAGGGTTTTTTCCATGTAAACCAGTATAATGCAACTTAATAGGGATTTTTCCATGTAAACCAGTATAATGCAACTTAATAGGGTTTTTTTCATGTAAACCAGTATAATGCAACTTAATGGGGATTTTTCCATGTAAACCAGTATTATGCAACTTAATAGGGATTTTTCCATGTAAACCAGTATAATGCAACTTAATAGGGTTTTTTCATGTAAACCAGTATAATGCAACTTAATAGGGTTTTTACATGTAAACCAGTATAATGGAACTTAATAGGGGTTTTTACATGTAAACCAGTATAATGGAACTTAATAGGGGTTTTTACATGTAAACCAGTATAATGCAACTTAATAAGGATTTTTACATGTAAACCACTATAATGTAAACTAATAGGGGTTTTTACATGTAAACCAGTATAAAGCAACTTAATAGGGATTTGTACATGTAAACCAGTATAATGCAACCTAATAGGGATTTTTCCATGTAAACCAGTATAATGCAACCTAATAGGTTGCATTATACCACCAGACCAAGACCCAAACGAAGACTCAGACCACCACCAGATAATGACCACAGACCAGGTTTCCTTAGTTACAGGAACCAAATTGTTTCAGCGGTGAGGGGATTTTTCAGTTTCAAGGACACTTTCAATACATTCAGTAGTTTCAAGGATTTCAACTGTTTAAGAATGTAACCAGTTTCAAGGATATCAGGAGGTTCAAGGATTTCAGGAGTTTCCACACTTTCAACAGTTTCCAGGTTTAAAAAAGTTTCAAGGATTTCAGGAGTTTCAATGTTTCAACAGTTTCAAGGATTTCAGGAGTTTAAAGGTTTCAACAATTTCAAGGACTTCAGGAGTTTCAAATATCTATCAAGTATTTTAACAGTTTCAAGGCCTTTTAAAGGATTTCAAGGATTTTTTTTAGCAGATTTCCACATTAGATCTGTTCCGCAGTCAATCGCAATGGCTTCAGCCATTGCAAGTTTCTAGTTCACATTGAGAATTATTCAAAGTCGCCTGTTCTAATATTAATGTTTACATGGCAGACCGTACACACGCGCCTCCCTCCTTTCTGGTTCACATTTTTTCCTCTTTGAGAAATATACGAGACGCACGTCACGCAGTTCTCACAATCGCGTCAGTGACAGGGGGGAGGGGGGGCGGCAGTGTGTGGAGGGCACGGGGGGGAGGGGGGGGGGGGGGGGGGGGGGGGGGGGAGTGCGAGGTGCATATGGGGAGGAGGATACGGTGGATGTTGCGGTTCCAAAGCCCGCTCCTCCTCAGTCTCCGTGACTCTCCCGTGGATTACACCCGAAGTGAACCCTGCAGCCGCGCGTCTCTGCTGCAGGTGAGCTCCACGTCTCTGCTTCCCACTGCTTTACACAGACGTCAGTGCAGCTGAAGGAAAATTACGCGAGCAACAAGTCTCTATTAGTGGACTGCGTTGTCGGTCTAATAGATTAAGTGATTTGTATTTGTTTTATTATTGGTTTTTGTTTATTTATTTATTTTACAGTTTAAACCCACATTGTATTTTTGAGCAAAATACCGATTCTATACAATAGATAAAATAACACTTAAAGCAGATGGAAAACAATTGAGACGGAGAAAAATATTTAAAAATAAAACATATATTACACGTCTCTCGACCTGAATGTATGATCTCTCTCTGGTCTCTCCCTGGTCTCTCTCTCTTGTCTCTCTCTCTCTGGTCTCTCTCTCTTGTCTCTCTCTCTCTTGTCTCTCTCTCTGGAACCTCTGGAATGCAGTTGTTTACTTCATTAGATATTATAGACAGACTTGTGTTTTGATTGTGTCACACTGTTCACTTATGGCGCTAATGTAGCTGAGGCGCGATCGTTCACATTAGTAAACTTAATTTTGGTTAAATGTAAATCAATACGGACATTTTTTAATCCGTGTTCGGCTCCTAGACAAGTCTGTACAACTAAAGCAGCCCTCTTACTAAAAACTTTGGACACCCCTGCTTTATAGGAATATTTTTGAAGCTTAGATGGGTCTGACAGGAGGAGCTGAGAAAGATAAAGTTTACCACAGTTAGAAAAATACAATAAAATATCTTTAATAATGGTTGTTTTATGTTTTTAAAGTAAACTAATAATTTTATTTAAAGTACAGGCATTTCAATGGCAGACAAACATTCAGTGTAAATGTTTTTTGCAATAAAGGACGCTCTTTTGTGATTTATTTTGTTCTTTGGGGCTTCTATCAGACAAATGTGAGACAGTAATGTCCTTTCCCCGACAAATGTCTGTTATAGAAGAACCAAGTCAAGTCATCTACTAAGAAGAGAAGCTGAACATTCCTAAACTAACTTTTTTGACTCTCTGCCTTCAGTCCTGTTTTTTGCAGCTTCAACCACACTGTACATTTTATAAGATAGGATAACTTTTATTCGTCCAGCAGTGCAATAGGTGATGTAATGCACACGTCAAACAAGATATATTAAATAAGATCATAAAATAATAAAGTAATTAAGTAATACAATATCAAGAGAATAAACTCTGGAGCGATTGCATCCCTTTTACAGATGTCTGGTGTTGTACTTTACAGCATGTACTCTGGCCTCTCCCTGTTCTCTCTTACTCTGGTCTTTATCTAGTCTCTCTCTGGTCTTTCTCTGATCTCACTCTGGTACCACCCTGTTCTCTCTCTCTCTCTGGTTTCTGTTCTCTCTCTGGTCTATGTTCTCTCCCTCACTCTGGATGGTCCATATAGGAGCTCTCTTTCTCTCTCTCTCTCTCTCTCTCTCACACTCTCACTTTCTCTCTCTCTTTCTCTCTCTCACACTCTCACTTTCTCACTCTCTCACTCTCTCTCTCAACCTAGTAAAGTCCTCCGAAACTATACTGCTGTTATTATTTAGTGCAATACACAAATACATTGAATTTAATATAACATCAGCGGCAGCTAATGTGATATGAATAATAGTAGCAGCAGGTAACGTGACTAGTGAATACAGATGACACCAATAGCACCTGTTAAGGCTCATTGTAAAGTCTGACACTTCCCAAAGCAAACATCCTCCTTCTGCGCCTCAAGCTCTGGTTTGTGTTCGTGTCTGTGTTCCCACTCTGGTCCACTCTATAATAACCTCAATTACTACGCTTTTCATAATTTAAATCAGATAACACATTCTCATTCCCTCTTTGGATCAATATCATGACCATCTTGGTGTAATTGCTAACAAGCTCATGGTTTCTAGTCACTTTCTGGTGATTAGATCAAGAACATGTGGATCTACAGTTCTCAGTCCTGGATTGACAGTATCAGTCCTGAAACTACTGCCTCAGTTTATCCGTTCATGGGAGCAGATCCCTCTCTCAATATGGTTCTCCCCGATGTCTCTCTCCAATCCCTCTGTCTCCAGTCTCTCTCTGGTCTCTCTCTGGTCGCTCTTTGGTTTCTGTCTGGTCTTTGTCTGGTCTTCCTCTTGTCTCTCTCTTGTCCCTCTCTCTGGTCTCCCTCTGGTCTCCCTCTGGTCACTCTCTAGGCTGGCTCCTGTTTGTTATTATTGCTTTTCTTGTGTTTGAACTGTTTGATTCTCTAATCGGTTATTGGGGAATCCACAACTTTTTAAAATCCTCTACTACTTAACTAAAGTGTTCAAATTGTTGTGTTGTTGTGATTAAGGGCGATACACAAATACATTAAATATAACATTTGGGGCAGGTTATCACACACCTACATTACATGTAATAGACCGTTCTAGTGAGAAACCTCAGGGAGGCCCATTTTGAAAGAGGGATCTGCTGACATGGATAGACAGGCAGCAGATCCAGGACTGAGGCTGTAGATCCAGGACTGAGGCTGTAGATCCAAGATGCTGTAGATCCAGGACTGAGGCTGTAGATCCAGGACTGAGGCTGTAGTTCCAGGACTGAAGCTGTAGATCCAGGACCATATGATTACAAGTCATCTGGCTTGGTAGGTATGGAGACAAAAGAGTCAGAAATTCACCTTCCCTCATAAATGTACAGACTTTTTTATTTGTCTTTTAGTGATTCCTGTTAAACCTCTGAGAGCTTATATTGCCTGTATACACTTGTAGCACAAATAAAGGCTCTTATCCTAATTCAAATTACATTGATTTTAATATTTTAATGTCTATGTTTAATGGATACTTTTTAATTGCGTTTGATGGGTTTTGAATATATTTATTTAAAGAGAGAGACCAGAGAGAGTGACCAGAGAGGGACCAGAGAATGACCAGAGAGAGACCAGAGAGTGACCAGAGATGTCTGTTTGTCTAGGTTATGTGTATGTGTGTGTGGGTGTGTGTGTATGTGTGTCTCTGTGTATGTCTGCATTTGTGCGTGTGAGTGTCTGTGTGAACGCTCTGATTTTGGGTAGTCAGAAGATTACGTTGAAGTCAATAGGAGCCAGAGCGAGTTGGAGCCAAACTTCACCTTGAGCACTTCCCAGTTGGGCTTCATTGAGCCAGCGGGTTAGAAATGTCTATCTGTATATCAGCGTTCGTGATCAAGACTCCGCCAGAATCAAAACTGACTTTGAAACGTTCGCTGAGAGAGAGAAAAAACGAAAGTTTATCTCACTCATAAGGTTCATGACTGTGGGTTTTTATGACTCACTTTGGAGAGTTTTGCAACAGAAATCATTAGCAAATGCTGTGTTTATAGTGGGTTCAAAGACTTATCAAGAGAGAGACCAGTGAGAGAGTTTACCAGAGGGTATCTAGAAAGAGACCAGAGAGAGAGAACTGAGAGAGACAGAGCGAGACCAGAGAGAGACCAGAAAGAGAGGGACCAGAGAGAGACAAATGAGTGCCACAGAGACCAGAGAGAGGGACCAGTGAGAGGCCAGAGAGAGACCATAGAGAGAGGGTGAACTTTCTTCCTCCTCACTGACGTGCAGACGCTGATGAGTAATGCCACATATTGATGAGTTTTATTCACACGTCCATAACTGTATCTTTGCACTCAGGAGGAAACAGTCATCTCCATCAGAACATTTCCACAACAGTAAATCCATCTCAAACTTCACTTTGTCTTAAGAAATATAACCCTAAGAATAATGGCTATAGCTCCTATTCTCCTCTATTCTACCTGACTACTCTACTCTACCCTACTCTATCCTCCTCTCCTCTGCTCTGTTTTACTCTGCTCTACTTTACTCCACTCTTCACTACTCTACTCTCCCATTGGGAGTGTTTCCACTGGCCCTATTCAACCAGTACCAGGACTTTCTTTAGTTCCTCTGTGCCCTAGCTCTATTCAGGCCGAGATGGTACTAAAGGCTTCTCACTGACAGTGATTGGCCAGAGTGCTGCTGGGAGCCAGGACACTGCTTTGTTGTGGGTACGCTGCTAAGATCCGGTACCAGATACTAAAGCGCAATGGAAACGCAACCAGGTAGAGTGAGTAGAGTAGAGTAGTGTAGAGCAGAGTAGTGTAGAGTAGAGTAGAGTAGTGTAGAGTAGAGTAGAGTATAGTAGAGTAGTCTAGAGTAGAGTAGAGTAGAGTAGAGCAGAGTAGTGTAGAGTAGAGTAGAGTAGTCTAGAGTATAGTAGAGTAGAGTAGAGTAGAGCAGAGTAGTGTAGAGTAGAGTAGAGTAGAGTAGAGTAGTGTAGAGTAGAGTAGAGTAGTCTAGAGTAGAGTAGAGTAGAGTAGAGCAGAGTAGTGTAGAGTAGAGTAGAGTAGAGTAGTCTAGAGTAGAGTAGAGTAGAGTAGAGTAGAGCAGAGTAGTGTAGAGTAGAGTAGAGTAGTCTAGAGTAGAGTAGAGTAGAGCAGAGTAGTGTAGAGTAGAGTAGAGTAGTCTAGAGTAGTGTAGAGTAGAGTAGAGCAGAGTAGTGTAGAGTGGAGTAGAGCAGCGTAGTCTAGAGCAGTGTCGAGTAGAGTAGAGTAGAGTAGAGTAGAGCAGAGTAGTCTAGAGCAGTGTAGAGTAGAGTAGAGTAGGGCTGGTGGAAGCAGGTCAAAACACGCAATCTGTCCCCTACAGAGATTTTTTTGGACAAACCAGATCACATTGTGTTAACTTCATTTCACTGTAGAAAAAAGCCTGTGTCAGAAAGAGCCCTGTGAGACAATATTTGAGTCTTTGAGCTGAGGGCTGGTTGAGGTTGAGTGAGGCGGTGAGTCTCTTGTATTCTTCTCATCAAATCAATCAACATTTGAAGGGTCTGAATGTGACACGAATTCTCACCAGACTGACACACAACAGACACCACACCAGATTATTGTTCTAAACGACAGAGACCTCAGAGCCGTCAAACCACTTCACTCTTCTTTGTGAGTCAGGGGAACGTAACACACATGATATAAAAAACCCACGCTTAAAAACAGAAAGAGGTCCGTAATTGGTTTGTCTCTGTTCTCTCTCTGGTCCGTCTATCTGGTCTCTCTCTGGTCTCTTTCTGGCATC